ATGTATATATATATATATATATATGTATATATATATATATATATGTATATATATATATATATGTATGTATACAGTCATTCCTCTCTATAACAACATCTTTATATAATAGCCATTCACTATAAAAGTCGAGTTATTCTCGAAACCGAATATTATATTATGTTATAATATATGTCTTCTATAACAACACTTCACTATAGCAGCCAAAAAATTTCGGAACAAACGAGGTTGTTATAGTATATACACTCTATATGTTATATACAAAAAATATACAACTTTTATACACTTTTTCGGCTACCGAATATAAATAATTTCTGACACGGGCTATAGGTGAAAAAACCCTATTTTATTTTATGTAATGAAAGCCCCGTCTTCCTAAGTGTATCATTACCATAAAATTTTCGTTTCATTTAAATTTTCTTTGAATTTTAAATTTTCCAGCCTAGATATTCTTATCTTTTTCATTAATTAATTGATGAAGCAAACTTGATTCAAGGCGTATATACAATAAGTGATCAATTTTGCTTTTTTATTTTGGTCCAAAATAAATGTCCATTTATATAATCAAGAAATAATTCAATTTATTTTTACAAAATTACCCTTATGTACATATCCTTAAAAAGTTTTCTTACTCCTCACATTAAATATTTAATTAAGGGTAGTTTAGTCAAACTAGATATTCTTGTATATAATTTAATATTTTTTTAATGGGCGTGTCCAGAGCAAATTGGTCACTTATTGTGGACCACAGGGAGTATATAAATTAGGCATTCTCATGCAGCTGCTCTAACAATAGCCCATTATTTAATTACTAATTAAGTGAAAGACGACAAGCATGTACTCCCTCCGTTTATGTGAACCTTGTTTGACTGAGCACGGAGTTTAAGAAAAAATGAAGACTTTTAGAATTTGTGGTCCTAAACAAGTCAAAAACGGGTCCAAAGTATTTGTGTAGTTATAAAAGCTTCTTAAGGGTAGAATTGTAAGTTTAAGCTAAATTATTACCAAATTTAGAAAGAGATCATTCTTTTTGGAATGGATCAAATAGGAAATAGATTCACGTGAATTAGAAGAAGAGTACATAACGGCAATAACCAGCTCATTAAGATGTTGATTAGAGATCAAGGAAGTTTTTCATGAAGGGAGTATTGCTGTCAGAATTTAAAAAAAAAAAAAAAAAAAAAAAAAAAAAAAAAAGAAGGGTTAAGCAGTATTTACTTGGGGGAAAAAAGTCCAATCGACGAATAATAAGCCACTTTTGTGATGGGTTGCAACTTGAAAAGGATGGCGAGGGGGGTTGGTTTAAGCTGGCATCCACATGCCAAATTTCGGATTTCTTTCCTCTTTATAAAAGTAATATTTACTAAATACTTTTCTAATAACAAAAGATCCCAAACACATGACTTTTATCTATCCTATCGATATCATATCATTCAGAAAATCAGATAAAGTTTATTTGCCAGCTTGTGTTGCCATTTTCATATTATCGATATCAACTCTTGTCGATGCTACCGCAAACAAATTACTCTGTATTAGAGATGACTATTTTATTAATTTCCTTGAAGGTTAAAATAATAAATAATATAGGGGAGTAAGGGGTTTGGCTGCGGGAAGGATGGCATTTCATTTTTTTATATGACATGTTCACGATGAAGGTACGTAAAAGTTTATAATAGTAATATATAACTTCAGCCAAAAGCAAAAGAAAAAAAAAAGTTATTATAGAGTTGCAATATCAACTTCTTAGAAACGACTTTGCATGTGGAATGGAATAACTTGGTTTTATATTAGCTTTTTCCACCACAAAATAGCTAGATTTCAAACAGTATCTGCGCAACGGGAAAATATAAAATGTAAGAACATTTCGAGTTGACTTTCTGGTGTAGCCCCTGAATTATTGCCTGAGCTTATTATGATCATACGTGTCATTGGAAGTCAAAAAATCTTTAATCATTCATGTGAACTTCATTGAAAGTGCTGCTAAGCACGTAGACATGCAGCGTAACTCTCATCTTTATTAATTCTCTTGAATTCTTATTATATGATGCACGATTGATTTTGCTCTACATAGCTAGCCTTGAAAGATATACAGTATATATTACTTCCTATTATTTTGTGGTTAACAAAGTAATACTTAAAATGGTATGCAGCCACCATCATGCTTGCTTCTACAAATAGATGCTAGCTCTTTCTTCCTTTCCTCTACTTGTACTATAACTTCTTCTTCTCCTACTACTAATTAAATGGCTTATTGTGTTAAGATATGGTTCACATTAGCAATAACATTCTTAGTCTTGAACTTAAAAACACTTGTTGAAGGTGCACCACAAGTACCTTGCTACTTCATCTTTGGAGACTCGTTACTTGATAATGGAAATAACAACGATCTTGACACAGCAGCAAAGGCTAATTACGCACCTTATGGGGTTGACTTTCGTGATGGCCCTACTGGCCGATTCACCAATGGCCGCAATACGGCAGACTTCCTAGGTCGTCTCTTACTTTTTACTAAAACTTCCATTTCTATTGATTTCCCTAATGTTTCTTTACTAGACTTGTAACAAGGTTAGTTGCTTCAGCTACACTATCGTTTTGGTTCTTAAGTGTTTCAAATCGATCGAGGGAATTATTGATAGTGGTTAATATATAGTATGAGTTTGGACATCGCATGCAACCCTCATTTTATGAGTTAGCTTTTAGTCGGGTTGAGTTAAGATCAAGATCTATTTTCTTAATATGGTACATAGGCATTCCTGTTACGTTGTAGAATAAATGGACTATTATCTCCTTATATAGCTAACCTTGGGATTCCTCGCATATCGTAAGCTGGCTTTTTGAATTGAGTTATGTTCAAGGTTCATTTTGTTAATTACTTCAACTTCTTTTTTAGTGCATGCAGACATTTGACTTGATTTTATCTCCATATATGCAGCGGAACTCCTGGATTTTGATCACTACATTCCACCTTTTGCAAGTGCAGAAGGTAGTGAGATCTTGGAAGGTGTTAATTATGCATCTGGTTCAGCTGGAATTCGCAATGATAGCGGAAGTCATCTTGTAAGCGTAGTTTGGTGTGAGTGTGTGTGTGTATATATATATATATATATATATATATATGTATATTGCTTCTTTTGGACACGAGTAAATGAGTAATCTATATGGAATTTACTTATATAAGACTTCCTATTTTAATTTTGTTTTCAGGGTGATCGGATTTACTTGGGCAGGCAATTGGAGAATCATAAAGTCACAATTTCCCGTGTTGCTGATTTACTAGGGAATACAACCGCAGCAAAAAAGCACTTGAATAAGTGCCTCTTTATTGTGGGAATAGGGAGCAATGACTATATCAACAACTACTTGATGCCCGAAACCTATCCCTCAAGTCATTTGTACACACCAAGCCAATATGCAACTGCCTTGATAGAACAATATTCACAACATCTGAGGGTTAGATTTTTACTTTAATTTCTACGCATATATTTTATTCATATTTAAGTTTAAATTATAAGTAAGAAAGTTAACATGAAAAAGGGATAGGTCTGGAGACCTCTCCAGATTCAGTTTCTTAACACTAACTGGTTCATGAGATTACGCTTACCTCATTTGTTTTCTTTGTAATAATTCTTTTAACATATTCATCATTAATTAAATTTAAAAAAATAAGATCCGACTAAATTTCTTTTTAAAGTACTCTTTTATTTAATTTATTTTGTAAACATTTTATTAGAGTAATCAGACAGGCAAACTGTATAATATTGTATTAAATGGACTAATTTTTTTTTTGGGGGGGCGTTTCTTATAAAAATTGGATTTCTACTATAATGCTACTCTTTGGTTGATGTGATTAGACTTTATATGAAGATGGTGCAAGGAAAGTTGCTCTATTTGGATTAGGCCGAATAGGTTGCATCCCAGACGAGTTGCAAAAACACAATACACGTAGATGTGTGAGTTCAACAAATGATGCAATTCAACTATTCAACAGCAACCTAAAGTCTCTTGTAGATAATCTTAACACCAATTTTCCAGACGCAAAATTCACATATATAAACATGTACAGCATTTCATCAATCACTGGTACGTAATTCTTCCCCACTTTATTTATCCTTTCAATCTTTTAGTGCTATTGAATCTTTATGAGATATTGGCTATATATTGGGAACTGTCCTTTTTTCAGATACCTTTAGTGTGTTGAATCGTCCATGCTGTGAAGTTTCGGAAACCATGCCTGAAGGGCAATGCGTTCCAGGAGAAACTCCATGTTTGCTTAGGGGAATATATTTTTTCTATGATAATTTTCATCCCACAGAGACTGCCAATATGATCGCGACCAACAGAGCTTATAATTCTCTTCTATCGTCTGATGCCTATCCTATGGATATCCGTCACTTGGTCAGGAACAAAAATGTGTATGATGAGTAACATACATGTGTTTCATCATTTGGTTACGTACGTGTAATACGTTTTACTTGTAATAAATGTTTAATTTAATTATGTTATTATATGGAGTACGCACCTAATACTTATTTTCAAGATGTGTGTTTATCCTAAAATTCGAGTAACAATTAAACTTGTATTGTGGTTTTAAGGATATGTGATTTAATTCAATGCCAATTGATAAACAAGGGATTAAATAGATAAATTAAAGAAAAAAGTAGATCAAACCAGTGTGTAGGCTAAATCTCGACCTCGACCTATGACAGTCTCGAGGTATGATGATGAGAATAAATGATAAAACAACTCTGAAGAACAGTAAGTAAAATAGCAAGAGAATAATGCACGTATATTTTCTTATCACTGAACAGTGTGTTACAAATGAATGGGATCCCCCTTTATACAATAGGGGAGTCCTAAATAAGGTACACTTCTAATTACAGTAGAAAATCATATTGGACAGTTGTCTAACTGCCGAAGACCAACCTATTCGGAATTTACACCGTGAACTCCGGCCCGTTGCGGATATGTCGCTCTTTCCGTTATTGAATCATAACGGTATCATCTCGAAGCATGCCTTCTTATGACCTCGGTAAATGATATCGACCTCGACACTAAAAAGGAGCTTCGACCTCGAGCTCGGCGTCCTGGCCTTCCGACATGGTATTACTTTTTCCATCGAAGAACAAAATCGGGTAGCCCCGATTTTCACCGTATACAATGTGCTAGGTCTTTTATTTACTTATTATCCAAGGGATAATCAGGTAAAAAGGGTTTTCATACAACTGATTGGAGTACTAGTCAAATTTGGATTTTATTAATCAATTTTATTCACTTTTACTCTTATCATTAAGTCGTCAATTCCCAAACTAATCAATATATAGTAGTCAAATTTAGATTTTTAGAGTACAATTAATAAGTATAATTTAATAAGATGATAGTCCCCTCGTTTCTTGGAATAAGATGATAAGAAACGACTTGAACCTCGATTTTTCGGAGACCCTGATAGTGACATCATCCTCGTGACGTAAGTGCTCGGCGCGATCGAAAATGCCGGTTCGGTTTCCCAAAATATTAAATGCTTGCTAGTGACGGTCGGCCATTAGCGCCACTAAACTGTCGCTGTGAACCTATAAATACATATCCACCGCCCGTTGATTCGATCTTTTAGGACCAAAAATACCAAACTCCACCCTGTTCCGCTTCATCCTATCTGAATCAATGGCGAAAACCTCCAAAACAGTTCCTCAAAAGGAGAAAGCCACTTCTTCTTCTTCCCGGCTGGCCGGCGAAAAAACGCTGGTGGAGCCGGCCCTTCACGAGATTGTTCCCGGCCCTTGTGACCTAAAAAACGACTTCAATGTCGAGAACCCTCCGTCGATCCTTGGCCGGTGTGAACACGTATTGAGGTATATTTGCCCGATAATGGCGAAACAACTCAAAGCCATGAAAGAAGACTATAACTAGGTCCCTGAGGTCGTGGTACAGATCCTCGCCCCCGAAGAAAGTATCACAACTCACGTGGAGGGGTTTCTAAGTGTTTACACTTACCCCTTCACACTGGGTCTGCTCGACCCAATTATCGTCAATTTTTGCAAGGTGTACCAGGTTACCCTCGGCCAGGTGCATCCCTTATTTTGGTGCATAGTAATTATGCTCCACTTCTTCTCCGGTAAGGCCAAAGGGTTGGAATTCACCCTCAGCCACTTTATACAGCTTTATCGACCAAAACTTTATCGAGGATTAATCAAGCTTCAACACCGATCAACGAAGTCCTTTTTTGCAAGTATCGACGAGGACAAAGATCGAGGTTGGATGAGTCAGTTTGTATGGGTAAAGACCTACGACTTCATCCCCGAGGAGAAGCGGTCATTCCTCGAGAAGTGGAACCCCAAACGTAAGTGTTAGCCATTAATCTTCATGCTTTTTTTTTTGCTTTGTGTAACATTTTCATCTGTTATGCAGCAGTTGCCTGGATGCCTCACGCGGTACCTGACCTCGAAGATTGGGTTTGAAAGCTTTCTATAACTTCCTCTCATGCCAAGTGTTGCTGGCGTGACTTAGCAAAGGATAGATGGGAGGCTAAAAACCATGGTAAGTTTACCCCGTATGCTTACGACATCTTTTCTGAAACATTTACTTTTACATCTACCTGACTCCCTTTTACGTAGGTCTCAAAGACGTCGCTGAATTGAGGCCGGCCCCACCTGGGGAAGAGGTGGTTCCCAAATCGGCCAAGGAGAAGAAGAGGAGAAGGACCTTGCCTTCCGACATCCCAAAGCCTAAGAATAGTAGGTCTTGTAAGCCAAAGGACGACTCTACTACTTTGTATGTCGGCGTAGCCCAAAAGTTACGAGATGAGAAAGAGGAAGGGGAGGACGCCGGTTGTGAGCTGGTGCCTCGAAAGAGGGGAAACGTCAAGTCTTCTAAGGCAGCTGGGTCGATAATGGTCGGGGAGACTCATCCTCAGACCCAAGAGATCTCAGAAGGTACTCCGAGCAAAATCCCCAAGTTATCGGGGGTCGAAGATATTTCCTGCCATAACGAACAATCGGTGAGTGTGCCCGAAGGGTCCGATAGTAGGGCTATTCATAAGGGAGAGAGTGCCCCAAATGACTTGCATGGGGCAATCACTATCGATGATTCACCGCCCGACCCTCAATTTTCTTACGGGCAATTTCGGGAGGCTCGAGCAATAGAGACCCCTGATGTGCGAATGGCTCATGATGGGGAAGAGATATTCTGCGGCTGCCTTGCGAGGGTCGACGATATTTCTGACCTAGATGCATCTATTGTTTTTGATAAGGTCCATCACATCCTGAACCAGGTAAACTTCATTCATTGTTATCATATTTGATTTTATTTTCTTCTTGCTGACTTCTTTCCTTTCTTCATAGGCTGTGGTGCTTCTTCGAGAAGCATTTAACAAGTCCCAAGCTACGCTGAGCCGGTGTGAGACTGATCTCAAGAAACTTCCTAAGGAGAGGGATGCCCTCAAATGCCTCTATGAAGAAAGAAGAGGGGATCAGGGACCTCCGAGCAAACTTGGCCCAGACTCGTAAGGACGGAGCCAAACTACATGCGCAGGTAACTATCATTTCTAAAGAGTACGGTCTACTCGACTCAACTATGGAGGCTAATACTTCGGTATCTCAGTTACAACAAAAACTGGAGAGGATCGAGTTGCTCCGAGGGGAGGTCGATCAAGTCAAAGCTGACTGCGATCAGTAGAAGGAGAACATGGACTGCCTTGCTGCGGAGAAAGAGGCTTCCTTGGCCAAATTTTTATCGGTCGAGGTCCAACTTCGGGGCGTTAAAGAGAAAAGTTGGCCCAGGCCAAAAGGATCAAAGAGCTTGAAGCCGAGCTTACTGAGGCCAAGGTAAAAGTTGGGAGACGAAGATCTCGGCTGACACATCTATAGTCGTGTATTTGGCTGATGCCGAGGCTGCTCAAATATAGTTAAGGGAGGCCTCCAATCGAGAGCGACAGAGTAATGACTTGGCGAGGTGCCAATCTCAAAGGGAGATCCTTGAGGAAGTCCACGCTCGAGGTTATGACCTCTCTAAAGAGATAGCTCAAGCTAAAGTGCTTGGAGTTGATGCTAGGTTGCTTCTCTCCTCCGACAATGATGATGGTGATGAAGGCAGCCAAGATGGGTCCGATAACGATGAGGAGCTCGAAGGAGAAGCATGAAAGTACAAGAAGGGGGGTGAATTGTATATTTTTAATCTTAATCTCTATTAGTTGACTGGTTTTTCGATTAGTCGACTAAATGCAATAACCACAGTTATAATAGCAGAATATAAAAAACAGAAAGTAAGTGCAGGAATTAAAGACACCGAAATTTTATACTGGTTTGGATTCAATGTGAATTCTAGTCCAGTCCCTTTGGGTTGCAACGGAGTTCTCTTTAGTAAATGCGTTTCTTCGAGTACAATGACGTGATAGCTCAGTTCCTATAACACTCATCTCTTTTGATACAATGCCTCACCAGTGTTTTACTCTCCTTTTTCTCTGACTTGTTACACAAAAGGTCTTAGAGAACTACAATGTTTGTTTGCACTAGAACAAAGAGAGGATTTTTGGTTTGATCAAAGTATATGTGTCTAAGGCTTGATTCTGAGTATAAATACTTTGATGATGGCCGTTTGCTAACGAGACTTGACAACACAAGAGATTTGATCCTTGGAAAGAGATTGATTCTTTCTAAGAATAAGATTGCTTGCCGTTGCTCTTCCTTGATGAGAGGAAATTGACAGCTTTCCTTCTACAGTTGTTGATGATGAGGGTTTACTCCTTGATTGTTGGTCCATCCAGAATTAGCAGCTCAGCTAATCTTCTTACAGAATCTTCGATGCTTTTTGACAGCTTCAATCTTCTGGATTGAATGTGCTAGCCTTGATTGATGCCTTAAGTTTAGGTTTGTTTGATTCTTTCCATCGCAGCTGTCCATGATCTTTGCCGATTGATTCGTAAGCTTTGTTGATTGATACGCAATCTTTGATGATTGATTTCTTTCCTTAAGCATCCAGATTGACTTCAACAATCTTGTAGTAGCTCCTTGATTCCTTGATCTTACAGATATATTATTTGCATCATTAAAATTAGATCTAACAATCTCCCCCCTTTTGATGATGATAAAGTAATATATATGTATAAACACCAGTTGACTTCCCTGTGTTTTACTCCCCCTCAATGTATGCAGTTTACAGGTTCATGGTACTCCCCTCAGTTCATGCAGTTGACTAGTCCATGGTTGGAGTCTACTCTTGCCATGGAGGATGCTACTTTTGCCACAATCAACTATACATGTACAAATACAACATATACTCTTCTCCCCTTTTTGGCATCAGCAAAGAGGGAACAAACCAAGAACTAAACAGAATATATAACATTAAACAGTAGAGTTATAGTCCAAACAAAAACACCTAAAGCAAGATAAAAATAGAAATTGTCCAATGGCTGAGATAACAGCCCAAAAACAGCACAACAAAAAAAATTGTCTTAAACAACCACATTAATGACGCAAAAAATAAGTAAGAGTGTTGCAGATGGCCTCCTTCA